GGGGGGGGGGGCAGTCTCTGAGGCGTGTCGCCAGAGCAGAGCGCATTCAACTCTGCTTCCTGTTTCTCAGAACATAAAGTCAGAGCGGCAGACACGGGAACTGAGACCGTTCGACAGAGTGACGTCAAGGAGCGTAATACAGAAAGTGAGATGTGCAGGGAAACAAATTAATTGTCCTTTCGGTCTCTCTTCCTGATGTGGCATCAGTGATTTGAACAAGATGACTGAGCGTGCCTGTTTTCATAGGATGTGACTTTAAAACAGCTTATCTGATTCTTTGTCCTAAAGCAGAGCTGCCTGGAGTCAAAGCTGAGATACTAATCATCACATTTACTGCAGTCAGCAGCGTATAGAAAGAGCACAAAACCGCAAACATCCGTTTAGTACTGAGAGAGAACATGAGCGGCAGGCGGCAAGTCACATGACACAAGGGAACTGCACTGGCGCCTCGTGCATCAGTCCGACACTGATGCGGTGACACAGATGCAAGTCTCAAAACGAATCGGTCAACACACTCCACATATAAAACGCAAAGGAAGTGGGAACAAATATGGACCATAAATAGAGAAACTGAAATAACTAGGGATCTCAAAAAGTGCTGGAACTTAAAATAACAATTTCTCTGAAAATTTACTACTGAAATGGGACCGGGGCAACTTTATTTCTAACTGGTGGTGAGTGTTGCTTGTTAGGAAAGCATATGGTATTTATCATCATTCCTCATCAGCGTGAGCACACGGATCATCTGAATGAGTAAGAAAACCCTCATGAGCAGATGAGGAACTGTCATATGGTCATCCTTAATCACACAGCCTCATGACACGCAAAGTCTTCAAGACTGATTCTTTCAAATATCTTACACTTTAAAACTGGTGACCTGTTATGCGAAAAAGGTGCTATAGAAAGCGTTATGGGAAAGGGTTGACACACGTGACCCTCTGATGTCAGCAGAGCTAGTTTCACTTCTCTGTCTATGCTGGCTGGTGAACAGGGCAACCCAGTCACGCCCCACAGCACTGCAAGGGAACAAACAGACGGGCATTCATCAGTCTCATATCATCTTCAGCATTTGCCATTCAGTATTTTCTCCATCCACTGCTGAATTGAATCATATTTGCTGTATAAAGTGATTTATCTCATGCTGCTTTGACTCTGTGAATATAAAAGAACGCTTTAGCGATGCTAGCTGTGTCAGTACTGTACTTACTAATCTTTCAGTATGAAGTGAATCAGTCTCCTGAATGCAAGTATAGACTGAGATCTTTATTTTAAAGAGGTATTTACTATGAATTTAAAGGAGTAGTTCACCCAAAAATTAAAACTATTAAAAATATTTTGAGAAATGTCTCAGAAATGCTTTTTTTATTTGTTTGCTTGTCCATACACAATGGAAATCAATGGGCTTCAATTGCTGATGTTTTTAAAAATATCCATAGAAGACACGAACAGGTATGGAATGACATGAATGTGGGTAAATGATGACAGAACGTTCATTTTTGGGGGAACTATCCCTTTAAATCATAGGTAAAAGTACAGCAAGTTTCCTAACCTTCCTATTCCAAAACTACTAACTGATACAAAGACAAATGAGATTTGTCATGGAGGCCAATCTTCATCCCATCAGTTTCCAGGCCTACATGGAATGTGTGCCCACAAATCCCCACAGAAGTGAAACGTTGCCATTTACAAAGATGAAACCGTCTTTGTTTATTACACACTTTGGCTAATTTGTTAGTGCTTTCCACTTGCAGTAAGAGTCAGTTCTTTAAAAGTCTTTAAAAGTTAAAAGCATCCACATTAAATTAACATTGATACTAAGCATAAATATTACATCTAGAAAGAACGTGAGGCGAGAAACCTCAGACAGAATGATGACAGACAGCCACATGCTTACCGGTGTTCCGAGTTTGTCCAAGTTATCCAAGAAATATTTCACTGATTCACCCTGTGAGGATGACAGAGAGCAGAGAGAATCAGTCACATTATCAAAGCACTGCGAACTGACAATAAAAACAGCTGAGCACAAACTAGACATACAGTTCAGAAGATTAACAATCTTCCTTTCTTCATCCTTAATGTATTTGGATTTATACACACCAAAGTATGTTATTTGGTGTTCATTACAAAAAGGTTATTACAGTTGAATGTTCTCAAATAAACCTGGCAATTTGCAAACATGTAAAATGTGCAGACATAAGCAGTCAATGTAACAAGGGCCTCATTCAACGTGAGAACACACGGACATGACTCATGAAAAACCCTCTCACGGGATGTCAGTAATTACAAGCATACTCTATTTTGAAAGCAAATGTTACTGGCATCTTTTGTTTACCCCTGTAAAGGGAAATTCTGTAGTGTTATTGGTTATCTGCATCAGTTTATAGTGGTGACGGTACTAGTGCTGTACTAGCACCACCTCCTGCTTCAGCCATGAATTCGTGACAACTGGTCTCAGTGTGGCACGCCACCAGCAAACACAGGACACTAGAAAATGGACAAGCAGGGATGAGGAAGAACACACAAGGCGGGCTCTGGTTTGGAAAATGAAAATCTTGAGTAACAGGAACAAGCTGCCCAGGAAACAGCAACAGGCCTTGTGTTAATGTTCTGTGACGCTCAGATGTACAACGGACCAATTAGCCTCTTGACATTTCAGTTTGGCATGCTGGCAGGACAGCAGGAAGAAGTTATGTTCTGCTTCCTTCACGATGCTCATCTTTCTCAGTGCATGATGAAACTGTAAAGCAAAGCACTGTGGGAACAGTCAGAAAAAAAAGCCTTCCTCATTGCCTACATAAAATACCCTTTCAAACCATTACAGCATCTATTCGCATCTTGGGGTTAACTGAGGTCTATAAGAGGTACATGCAGGTCTTTCGAGGTGACTGTCAGTAGAGAGGCGATTATGTCATAAGAAAACCCCTGGTAACCCTCCCCCAGCTGGGCATGAAGCCACAGCCACACTGTGCTGTTCCATCTTCAATGAAGGGTGTGGGCACACAGGAACAACATGGTCAGGGCAGGCCAGGATATCAGTTTCTGAGCAATGCTAAAAAGGAAGTCCTGTTAAATCAGCAACATCTGAATCTAAGCCTGAAGCTAACGTCTGCTTTTGAACACAAAATCTCTTTTTTTCAAAACTCTTCATAAAAATGTAAAAACCAAATCATCTGAATATCACAATGCAAACACAGAGAGCAAAAGCTTTAAATACATTTGTTTAGGCTTGGTACTTATAATTGCGTTTTATAATGCCACAGTAATTTAGGTTTGTTTTTTACTTATTTTATAAGTGTATACCTCTTCTGTTCTGAATACTGTTAAAAGACTTACTAAAATACGTTTATAGTGTTTATGATGTTTGTAAATGTTTTATTTACCGGCATATTATAAATGTGACTTATACAACAATGTAACTTATGTGTTCTTTTCTCTCAACAATAGAATTTTAATAAATGAATAAAGAAAATATGAAAGTGATCTAAACAATAATAAATATAATGTTTTTTTCACAAGCAATGGAAGAACTCATAAAAAAATGAGTAGGTTAAAGGAATAGTGCACAAATTAACATTATCTAAAAATCCCCCACATTGAACAACTTAATTGTCAAGATAACTGGCAGACAAGATGATTAATAAAATAGCCCAATTGTTATCTGTAATGCATAAATACCAATAATGAGGTGTAAGTGAAGGTCCGTGAAATATCTCCTTCCCTGGGCCTCAGATTTACAGGAGTGCAATAGAGTCATCGTTTTAATCGCAGCTCAACATTCCTTCACGGATCATGCGATCCTTCTCCCAGATCCTAGTAATCTCAGGCCGAGATGAAGGGAAGGGGGAAGACTTCAGGCCCGTCAGCCTCCACAAAGCACTCTACACCCAACAATGACACCTACACACAGCACTAGTTAAGAGTACTACAAAAATGGAAACAGAACTCTTTAATGCTTTCCTATCCGTCCCTATATGGGGTGGGCAGAGCACAGAAACAAGTGTTTGGGAAAGCAGGAGAGAGCCCACTTGGGTGGATGTCTCCTATCAAAATATCTCTTCCGGTGACTTGAATCAGCAGAGATCATGATTCCCGCGGGGAACGCAGCAGAGATGTACAGCGCTGAAGACAGTTTCATTTTATAAAGCAGCATGACCGTCTAAATCGAACAGGCAGTCGGCATTTTGAAAATGCACCGTCTCCCAATTATTTCCAAAATCAGATTAAGCCTTCAGTAAGTGGGGTTAAAATGAACCTCACTGACTCGCACAGACTGTAAGTAAACCTTGTAATATTCACCAAACTGAATTTGACAGTTATAAACTATGTGCTGGCTTTTTAGCACAAAGCAGACGTCAAAAAGACAAACAAAAGAAGACAAGATGACAGTGCTGCTTTTCGGGGGTAGTGAGAGCAGAACAGCGAGGAATAAGGCAGTGGATTAGGATTATGCAATGCCTAGAAATAAGAGGAGGGGTGGAGTAAGGAGGAGCCAGAGAAGAAAGGGATCTTGGCTGCAGGAATCTAGAACAAGTTTTGTTTCGTTGCATGTCGGGTGCATACCATAACCCTCAGAGGCTGGAGGGGCAGAGTTGTGAAAGCAGGAAGCCTGATAATGTTTTGCACTCGACACACATGGTTTGTGGATTACAGGGCACAAAAGTGTTTTGTTTTGTTGCCTTCACTCACACAGACTGCATGCAAATCACCAGAGCCTGTGGCAGGAGGTCTACTTAACGGGCAAGTTGTATGGAAACCTCAACGGTAAGAGACGAATTTGCCTTTGACCAGCCTTGGTTCAGCACAAATGGAGATTCCTGAGATAGGTGAAGAGCAGACCTAGCCTGTTATCAGCTCCATACATCTGGGCCGCAGTAAAGCGCCTCCGTATTGTGTTGTTTCTTGTCCTCAACAGCATGCATCCACTGCTCTGCTTAAGTCCCAACTTGCCCATGCTGAGAGGTTCACTAGATATGGGCAAAGACGACCTTTATCCCTCAGCAAAAAAAGCAAACTATCTGTGCATGACACCAGTGATGGCTGAAATAAACTACATTATAACTCACACACAGGAAAATATCGTGTTACATATGTTCTAAAGAGAATTCAATGACAGTCATGAAGCTGCCTTGGGCTGTCACGGTCATGTCAATTTGGCTGACAATTGCTTTACAAAGAATTATCAACTGACAATTAAAATGTCAGTTTTATTCATGTCATTCACAGTGAATACTTTATATACATATAACATAAATAGCCATTCATGCTGGAATCATACAATGAATAAAAAGTGAAAATAACCAATTTGCACTTGCGATGGATGTTAAATTGGTTTAGCGTCAATGTGGCACAAAGTACTACAGCACTAGAGACATAATGTGACTTTCATGTAGCATGCATGACGTATAAACACCACAGCCCTAATTCATCCTCATCAATTTTACTCAGGAATGTTGGGAAAACATTAAAACAGTCTGTATCTGCAATCTCTTTCTCTGTAATCTCTACAAATCATAATAGTAAGAGTCGGTTATGGGGTGTAAAGTGCTTTGGTGAAATCAACATTTAAAATGTGGAAGTAATGCACTAGGAACTGAGAGCGTTTAGAGAAGTCTGAAGTTGCTAAGATGGCACTTGCTTATGTCAGGCCCTAATGAGGAATCATTTGAGATTTATTGGGGAAAACCAAAAATTACCCAACCAAACTGATAAGCTAGCTAAATAAAAAAACAGGAATAGCAATTGGTTACCTAGGTTTGATAAGTCCTCAGAAACAGACAGATGAAGAATGCACAGGCCTGAACACAACAGTGATGTGGTTTACACATCCTCCTAGATATACACACACCATCTTGGCAAGCCAATGTGCGAAACTTTCAGTTGGGGTCTCTAAAAGTCTCTAAAAGGTTTTTTGTCCACCACAAGACTTCTGTTAACTGCCAAAAAACCCACAGACTCTGTGGTGCAAAACAGGTGACTGTGGCCTAAAGTGCCATATGTTAAAAACCATAATAACTAGCATGAAGGTGTAGTTTAAGACAGTTAAGATAATATTCACTCTCTTAATAAATACTGCTGTTTTTATTGTGCACTGTGTGCAAAAATCCCACTGCCTGCTAAATATTCGGTTTGACTAAAAAAAAAAGCATCACATTACAGAAGTGAAATTAATTACAACTTTTAGTCATCTTTACAGAGAAATATAGTTCGGAAACTCACCAGCTGAAACTCCCTGCGCCGGTCATACGCGTTCTGTATGCCGCTGTCAGCCCAGAGGGCACGGATTGAAGGCAGGTACTGCAGGAACACTTTGGTCTCCATCATCCCTTGTGACACCATGGCTGATCGCGTGTCAAAAGCCATCATGGTGTCTCCATATGCCTGGTTTGAAGGGTCTCCCCATGGGATATGCAGCTTTTCTCTGGCATCCACAAGCACTCGAACACCTATGATGGCAGCAATGGGAGGAACATAATGTAAGGGCGAATTCCAAATGGAAGTGAGCATCCCTATGCCCTACTCCCTTCAAAGGGCAGAGCCCTTGAAGTGTGTTCTTTGAAGAGTGCAGGGCATTACTGTCTCATGTAAGCGTTTGGAACTCCCTTGGCGAAGGGAATGACTGACCAGATGTTACCTTGACAACGCTGCACGTGCATGCAGCATTCAGCACTCCATCAGTTGTTGAAAATAAATATTTCTTATTTTATTCAAATATTGTCTAATTGTGTCTTAATTACTATTAAACGTTTTCAAACTAAACTTGCTTACACTACCGTCTTAAATCATATTTCTATCAATGACGAAAAATGTTGTCTTAAGTAGAATAGGCTAATTAAATTAGTCTATTTTAATGTATGTTTGTATGTGAACTCGAAATCAACCCCAACTTTGCTTTAAAAAGCATCGCAAGATCTCCTAACCAAAGATCACATGATCACAAACGGAAATCACTTCAGTGAATTGACCATCGCATGTTCCCTTCGCTAACGGACTTCTGGAAGGGCCCTTCATGAAGGGATTCAGTTGCTCACTTCCGTTTGGAACGTCCCTACAAATGGCGTCCCCTTCCCGAAGTGCCCTTCAAGGGCACAAAAAAGCAGTTTGGAATTCACCCTTAATATTTATGCATGTCGTCGTGTACACAGTAGAGCTGCACGATTCTGGATAAATTGAGAATCACGATTTTTTGGCTCAAATAGAGATCACGATTCTGAACTAAACAAAATAATGTGTGACAAAATATTATTGCTGCAGTCTATTTAAAATTGTTTAATTGAATGAATTAACAATTTTATATATTTAAAGTATATTTATTACATTCATTTTTAATATTAAAATGGAAAAAAAAAGTTTGATTGAATGATCCAATGACTCACTCAAATACTTCACTTGTTTCATTACTGGATGAATCAGCATTTTTGAACGAATCTCTTGAATGATTCAATGACAAATACATTTCTTAACAGTCACTTTTCAATGCAATTGACACAAACGTCATTTGAAGTGCCAGTTACTTTCAAAAGGGGATTTGCTCTATTTTGATCGCTACCATGGATATCAATGTTTATATCTGAACTATGATCTTTCATCCCAGTATTTCTGTGATAATATGAATGACTGTAAGACAGAAATAATACTGTGTAGTTGAAAAGACTGTTTGTGAACTGTTTCTTACCCAAACATAGTAAATGTCTGCTCTCTGTGTCAGTGGCAGCATGAATGCAGATTTGAATGTTTCGGTATGATTTTTTTCAATAGACACAGGCGAATCGTTGTCATTTAAAAATGGTATCGCATGAATGTTTGAATTGAGATTGCGATCTTTTAACGATTAATCATGCAGCTCTAATACAAAGTTCAATATTATGCTTTTTGAGTGTAACAAAGTAAACAACATTAGACCCCAGTTTTTCAACACATGCAAAATTAGGATTTACACAATAACACAAAAAGGACATTTTATCACAACTTTATCATTTTATCATCTATATTGTGACAAATGACAAGTGGTCTATATGAAGGTAAGCATTACGAATTGTGTAGTGGCATGCTAGTAAGGCTTGTGGTTTTGCTTGGATATATATATTTACACTAGGGGTGGAACGGTTCGCGGAAAAAAATCGAACCATACGGTTCTCCACACACGGTTCGGCACGCGCTAGGACCGCGGTTCAACTTAAATCTGACAACGCATCTGTAATATGGTTTGCTATAAATAACACGTAAAACAAACAGGGTTCGGCTAATATATGTTTCTGTTGATGGATGCGCATTCTGGATTCCCAAAACATTACAACAACAGCGATGAATAAAAAAAAAACGTGGACAAACCATTCACTCTTGTTCAATGCGAATGCCGTATGCTGGAATATGAGCAGTCATTTATTCCGTCATCCCCCGGGTGCTGATAGCGGGCGCGCACAGGTGAGACCTGAACAGCACACGCTGATATCAGTGTTTAAGCTAAACTCATTTAAGCTTTGCCAGTTTAAACATTTAAGGGCCAGAGGATGCAAGCTCGTGCACGCAGTGAGAAGATTTGTGCGTGCGCTCATCCGAAGCGCGCAAACCCGCGCCTCAGAACGCGCTCAAATATTAAGCTCTCTCTTAAGTACTGTGTTTAAATGGACAAATTCACATAAAAATTGTCAAAATACCCGTCTTGGTAAGTATCCTATAGCAGACATAGCCAGCTGAACGTACTGTATCAGTGCACTGAATCAGTGCATTCTCTTAAAGTGACAGCACTTTCTTAATATTAATCAAACAGCAACAACAAAGAAATCACTCACTGCTCTTGATTGAATAGCTTTTGTAACTTTAATAAAGATTAATCTTTAATTTATACAGTCAAATATGCAATGCTGTTTTACATTTCATTACTTTATTCAATTTCTGTACCTAAAAACTAATGTTAGCTACCTAAAAAAAAACTGAATATCACTGTTTATTTTATTTTAATCTTTACTCTATTGTATTTATTTGTGCTGTTGCTTGTAGTTAGATAGATTATTCTTATTTTCTTTATTTTTATTTGACAGTATAGTTTTTGCCTAAACATAGCACATACCGAACCGTACCGAAAACGTGACTCTAAAACAGTGATACAAACCGAACCGTGAATAAGTTGAACCGTTCCACCCCTAATTTACACCCACACAAACATAACGGACATCTCAGGACACAAATGAAATGCAGAGCTTTTTAATAACTTCACACAGCTATGTAGAAACTTTACAGTGCATTTAAAGGAACAACAGCGTCAGGTGAACTAAAAGACAGTTCCAGTGTAGACATGTGTATTGTGAATTTTATCGGATTCAGCATTACAAACGACTTAGGGCTACAGAAATCCACAGAAAGAATCACAGATTTACTTTCAATTCAAACATTAAACGTTAAATGTTGTAATAACATGGTAAAACCTAACATTAAAAATTTGCACATTTACTCAAAAGAGACGTTACTCATTAATAAATAAACTATTTAAAATTACTAAATAATTTTGTAAATGACTTTTTATTGTAAATCCCATTTTTTCATCTTTGATTTAGAGGAATGCAGCTGCTCAAAGCGTCAATATTTTTTTTAAATATTTAATGAACATTTAAAACCTTGTACATGCTCAAATCTGCAAATAATATATAAAGAAAATAAATTTTAAAAAATAGGACTTTCTATTTGCTTTTAAACTGTAAATGCTTTTTACTAAGCTGTTTTTCCAATTTTTCAAGTTCTACATTTTTCTCCTTAGCTCCATGTTGCAGTAAGTTTTGGGAGTTCATTTTTAGTCCATCTCCTATCCTGAAAAGTCTGTCTTGCAGAGACTGACAAAAATTAGCTCCTAAAACTTACTGCCAGATTCTGGAAAATAAATTCTTCAAACAGTGATAACCTACCAGCAATGTAAATATGATATTTTAAAATATATTAGAATGAGTACATTACAATATAAACTTATTAGAACGAATACATTATTATTTATTGGCTTAAAAACAAGATGCAAAAAATCAGAATATTGTACCTGGTGGGGAGTGCCCAATGTAAACATGAAACATATGCCATTACCTATATTGTACTGTGGTACAGTTATGGAGGCCCTTCATTATGCAGAGGTCAACTGCCTGCTCTGCCAATAGTTAGAAATGGCACTATAGTATGCAGCGTTTAATAAAATAAACAGCTGTTTTACTAAATTCTTCTGATGTGAAATTCAGTGCAGTCCCGTATCGTGATATGCATCGTATCGTGGCCTCTGTATCGTGATATGTATCGTACCGTGACTTTGCTGGTGATACACAGCCCTGATATATAGTATAGTATTTCAGTCTGGCGAGTAAACAAAAAAATGTACTAGCCAATGGCGATTCAATTGCCAAGGTGTCCGTAGAGGGTTGTGCAGGAATGAGTAGAATTATTATTAATAGCCGTAATCCCGTGCCGAAATTCAAGTCCTGCTCCGTTTTCTCTGCTAATAACCCAACTGTGAATGATGCGAGAGGTGTCACTATGTTGTCACTGAGAAGCTGCAGCCGTGGTGGGGATGATTTTTGGTGTGCCAACAGAACAACAACAACGCGCTACATGTTTCTTTTCCCCTCATTTTTTCTAATTGACAGAAATCCGTTGTAGCGATGGAAAACTTGAATCCCTGTATATACAATATTAGAATGTTTGCGGGAGCGGGACACACACACGCTGCGGGAGTGGGTGGAAATGGTCAGAAATTCAGCGTAAGCGGGCTTAAGAAAACTGTCCCGCTCAGGGCTCTAGGCTGCGCATCAACACACAATTTTTTTTTGCGCTACCCCATCTCCACCCCCAATCATTAGTGCCGTTTCTTTGTCTTTGACAGAACATATAGGATAATTTTTTAAATAACTCCATAAACAATTTATTTCAAATTTAATCAAGCACTTTCAAGGACTTGTCTGTTTTCAAGTACTTTCCAGGCCTTGAATCCATATGTCTGAAATTCAAGTACTTTCAAGAAGCGTGGGAACCCTGCTTTCATATATTGTCTTTTGGCCAGTTTAGTGGAAAACACAAAGTTCTTGGTAACTAGGAATAGTGAATTAAATTATGAATGGAGTTACTTTGCGGTTATCTTCCATTCAGCATAAAAACAACAATTGGCCTATTTTAAATGGGCTGCTTTTTCTAAACCATTTGTTCACCAATATAGCTCATGAAGCATATGATTAATAAGATCATAAGATCCTTCTGGACCTCACGTGCAGTTATCAGCCCGTTCCGGGGTCCTTTCACAGGATAAGTCCTTAATTGTTCTCACCACACATTCCGGCGTGAGGTGACGCCAGGTCAAGAGTGTTTAACCGAAAACCCTTTAAGAGGTCAGCAATGTCCAAGCAGAAGCCCGTTACTGCAGCACAAGATTGCATGTAAAAAGAGCAGTCTCTATTATATGCACGTCCTGAAGCACAAT